CCACTGTTTCCAGGTGAACATGCAGAAGCCGTCCCTCCTCGTGAGGGCCTGTGGCGGGACGGGCGGCAGGAGTGGGTCTTCCTGCTGGGCAGAGGTGGCACAGCAGGGCAAGGCCACTTGCCTGAGGGGCACAGGGCACTGGGCGGCCTCAGTCCCAGCACTGGCCCCCCTGCCGCTGCCCATGGCCTGCACTGATGTCACGGGGAAACCATGTCCGGCCCTCAAACAGCTGCTGCTGCCCCCGGGCCAGAGGCCCCTAGCAGGGCCAGGGAGGCTAGTGTCACATCAGAGTGCCCATCCCCGGAGGAAGGCCCTCCTACCGTCCAGGGCCGGGCAGGGCCGGGCAGATGGGTGGCCATGGGAGCGGAGAGGCGATCCCAAATGGCAGAGACATCTCCAGGCCACCAGGGAGCCATCACCAGGACCCCCTGTGTCCACGCCACCTGCAGGGCTGTGTCCAGTAGGGGTAAGCGTCTTGCCCCTGAGCCTGGGAGGAACCAGAGGCCAGCCGGCCGCGGCCCCTAGGCTCCCCGCGCGTCCCCTGTCCCCCTCCTCCCTAGGTCCCCCTGCGTCCCAGGCTGTGGAGCCCAGCACGGTTTCAGATGCGCTGACCCCTGCTTCTGTCCCCCTGGACCCTGGGAAGAGCCCAGAGTCCCCGGGGGCTCCTGCGCTGGGCTCTGCCTGAGCTGCTGGCCGTGCCGGGGTGCTGGCCTGGAAGCTGGGTCCCCAGTGCCACTTTGGAGAGTCAAAGAGGATGCAGGGGTCCCTGTGGCCAGGCGCTGGGCCACCATGTGCGGCAGCAGCCGGACGCAGCCAGGACAGGACACAAGCTGCCATCTGCGCTCACCACCAGGCAAAACCGCGGAGGGTGACCTGCTGTCCCCGCTCCTGACCGTACAGTGAGGACAAGGTGGCACCTGGATGAGCAGCAGACTCCTGACGCAGGTGGGGACAGCGGGCAGTGCTGACTGGCAGCCACCCCAGGCGCAGGTCGGCCGGCAGCTCCGAGGCCTCTGCACGTGGCCCGGCCTCACTGTCCTGTGTGTCCTGTCCCAGCACCTGGCCACCTCGCTCCCTGTGACCAGCCCCGCCCTCCCCAACGGGCACGCTGAGTGTCCCGACAGAATGTCCTGGACCCCGGTGGCATCCAGTCCCTGTGCGGCCATCCTGGTGCAGAAACAGCCCAGAGCGGGGACCCCCGGCCGCGGGAGGGTTGGTGGTTCCCAGTTTTTATGTTCAATTCATCCGGAGCCTCAAAAGTCACCGCGCTTGCACACGCGGGGTGCTGGGTTCAACCCTCAGCACCACGTTAAAAATTTAAAAAAAAGATGTTGTGTCTAACAAAAAAATAAATAAATACTTTTTAAAAAGCCACCACGCTCTTCCCCGAGGCTGCCAGAGAGGCCGCGCCCAGGCCCCCTGCCCCGCACCCACCAGCCCACGACGCTGGGCCCACAGTGCCCCCTGGTGGCCGTGTCTGCACTGCGCTGCTGGCAGGCCCCGGCCCCAAGGCCACCCACTCTTCCATGTCCCCAGCCAACACTGACGGGCAGTTCTGCGCCCCCGAACCCCACAGCCCTGAGTGCAGGAGAAGAGCGGGGCGGAGAGTGACAAACCCCACACAAGGCCAGGTCGGGGCCGGGCAGGGAGGCGGGGCGCAGAGGAAAGAGCCAGAGTGGGGGGAGC